AAACCGACTCATGCATGAACCTAAGACATGGTCATGGTGACATATACTCAAAGTGTGTGCTAAGACTAGTGAGTGTAGGTGACATGTTAAGACTCGTGTCATGACCATGTGGCTAGACTATGTGACTAGACTCAATTAATGACTCGACAAGGTGTTATTGACAGCGACATTTAACCGACTTAATTAGCAAACTGGTTAATTAGACACAAGGTGATGACTCGATCAATAATCCGAACTGTCGTCAAAACGACAGGACTGGCGTCGCACTGTGTAGTGTAGCGCCAGACGACATAGCTGTCACCAGGCGCCACACTCCACAAAGTGGCGCTACAGTTCAGATTTTGGCGCCAATTCTGGAACTTCAATCTGAGACTGTTTTCGGTGTTATTAATCAACAGGGGTATGCCTAAAAGTCGTACTAGGTCAATTATGATTAAAATATTAGACTTTATTTACTCTAATTAATTAACTAATTAATTAATTAGGCAAAGTTCTTTAAGTCATTAATCTATTAAATCTCAACACAAGTCAAACAAACGGTTAAGAGAAACATAGAATATATGCACAATAAATAATGCACAATTAGTCAAGTAGGCACAATATGATGCAATGAGTTTGCAACCTAACCATGGCTCTAGTTCTCTAAAGTTCGGGATATGGTTTAGTCAAAGAGGGTCCACGGTTAATTGTCCGGATGCACCGCGCGGAAGCCTAACCGTGAAGGGTTGGCGCGAGTGGATGGGACACCGCGAGTTTCAGAAAAACTCGCTTCCATGGTTTGGTGAATTCAACATTCTCGGATGTACCCTTTGTTGCTCATAGCGTTTAATCAGGTAGATGGAGCATGAATTCCCAGAGGGTTATGTCCATATGTAGAACACATATGGGTTTCAAAAAAGTGAAAAAAACTCAATCAGGAAGTAGGATCGAGCAAACAATACGAAAAACTGGTCGAAATTAGAACGCATATTTCTGTCTCGGTATTGGAAGAATTTGGCGCCAGCAAACAGAGGTTGGCGCCAGTATTTAGCTGTAGCACCTGGCAACAGGGCTGTCGTCTGGCGCTACAGTTAAATGTCTGGCGCCATCTTCTGTTCGCTGACGCTAATTCCTACATGCCTCAGCAGCTTTCTGTGCTCGATAAAATTTTCCAGTTTCGCGCAGTGTTATTTCGGTCCTAGTTGTGAAAGATATTTCTCAAATTTCCTACGTGTAAAATCCTATTTTTTTAACTCATTACGGATGGTCTTTCCAATGAGATCTTTTTTATGCACATGACAATAATGTTAATCAAAATTACGCACATGAAATACTTAGAACGTTTCGAGTCTCATCCACTCATTCTAAATCATTACCGAAACAAATTCAGGAATTAAAATAGAAATCCTCCCCAGTGGAGTCGCCAAAAAACTGTAGGGAATATTTCAAGCGTTAATCCCCTAGCTTGAACCCCACTGTGATCATACACTAAAGTACGGTGGCGTCCAAAGGAAAAGAAGATAGAGCAAAAGAGTCGCCAACAAGTTTTTTAGGAACTTGTAAACCGTTCACGAGGTGAAGGTTACACCCCTAAAAGATCCAAGAGATCGTCAACTCCATAAGGTCTTGAACCAAATAGGGTTCGGGGATAAAGGTACAAATCCAACCTAAAAGAGATTGAACCTGCTCTAATAATAGGCCTCTACTTTATTCTGATCGTATTCATGTGCGCTTTCTGACTAACATGCAATCAATAGGATTAACACTAAACCCGTTTATCTATGTTGGTTGAATTTAATGCACAAATAAATCTATTATTGGCGATCACTTGAATTATAATCAAATTAACCCTGAACAAGATTATTAATTATCTTATTAAGCGTGATTACAAGTATAGATTCCCTTTTAACATGCATAAAAGGTGTGATCAAGCAATAACAATAAATATAAAGCAACGTAATATATAATCATCACAAGTATAATTATAATAATCACAATCATAAAAATAATCATAATCATAATTAATAATCATAAATCATGTTAAAGCATAATAATAGCAAGATCATAGGCATGATACTAATAAGATTAATAACAAACCCTAGCATGTCACTAACAATAAAAATCAAAATCTTTAACCCTAACATGATACTAACATGAATATTAGGAAAGAAAATAAAAGGCATCATAACAATCATATTTAGTATTAAAGTTACCTTAGACATGATACTAGGAATCATAATAACAACCTAAGCATGAACTTTATATCATAACATCAATAAAAACCATTAAAATACTTACTTTGATGTCTCGTACCTCTTTCTAATAACAAAATACACGCATTAGTAACTTCAAAGAAAATAATAATTAAAACAACTAAATTAAATTAAATAATTGAAAGAGAGATTTGGGACCAAACCCTCAGAAATTAAACCTTTCACGTCTAGGACGAAGGCAACTTCGAATATGGCTAGGTGTATCTAGATCTAATGAATGCGGAATTTTGTTTTTGAGAAAAGCTAGTTTAGAAAAGAGAGAGAGAGAGAGTAATCAAGAGAATCTCGATGAGAGAGAATTGATAGATCGTAGATGAATGAAAAATTAGTTGTTGATGAATGAAAATTGGTTATAGGTTATTGTTGATGAATGAAAACGGAGTTTTTACGACGTTATTTATAGAGAAAATCAGCCAAAAAGATAAAATATCAAAACAGAGTTCTGGCGCAGATAAAACGATGTTGGCGCCAACGCTGGCTATTGGCGCCAAACGCCAATGCTAGCGCCAGGCGCCAATGCTAGCGCCAGGCGCCAAGCGTAGCGCCAGGAGCTACATCTGGCGTTTGGTGCTGATTCAGAAATTCACGCGTTTTCTTAAAATCAGATAAAAAATGTCGTACAAGAGGATAAAATCGTATCTTCCTCAAAAAAACGTTCTTTGATTTTAATTAAAACTCTGAAAAGTCAACAAAAGTCAATTTATCAATGCTAATTGAATTAGGAATGAAAAGAACCTTCTAGAAGAATCTAGAAGACTAAAATCATTCCTAATTGCATTAAGAATGATAAATCTATATTAGGCCCTCCTCTAGATCATTGGGCCGCATATAAGGCTCAAACCGGGCCCAGTTCAGTAAATTGGCCATAACTTCCTCAATATTCATCGGAATTGGGCTTATAATATATCGTTGGAATGCTCTTGTCAAGCCCCATTCAACTACTCTACTATTAGACCCATATCATGGACCAACCAAATTGGATTGGCTGTTTTCTTAAAATAAGTTTTCAAAAACAGAGAGAAGAGAAAAGAAATTAAAACTATCCGCAACACTAAACTTTCCACACTTTCACTTCATTCGATTATGATTCGACGTGAAAGGTACTCATCACCGGGTTTGGTTTTGGGGAGACACAAATGGGTGTCTACACATATATATGAATAAAGAGATATGTTGGACACTCGATATCTGTTTGGAACTCACTGGACGTAGTGTAACTAGAACCTGATAGGAACTTTGACCATGAGCACTGACTTAGCTACGTGGTGAAGGACAAAACCATTAAGCACGACCACTACACTTCGTCAGCCTCAACTTTGAATGAATACATATGAGCATATTTATAGTACACTCGAATTATTCATTTCATCTTGAAAAAGATAAGTTTTCTGAAAAGATAAGTTTAAAAGATATTTTCTAAAAACAAGTTTTCCGAAAATATATCTTTTTGTTAAGAATAAAAATTGTCGTTAATAATAAGATAAACTTAACATAAAATCATATTTTATTCAAAACTTACCTTTTTGTTTAAAAATACTTTTTAAAAAATCTTATCTTTTTTCAAAAGGGATTTATTAGAAGATAAATATCTTTATTCAGTAAACCAAATCCTTAAGAGATATGCACGTATTAGGTAAATATATATCATTAAAACCGACTTTTAACGACGTGCATACTTAAGTTCCTATTAGGTTCCTGAACTCTGACAGTCTCTGAGTTCCTGACAAGTCAGTTACTCTAATTTCATTGACTGTCTGGAATTCACCTTGGTTCTGTATAGACTTGTTCCAGACCGACTTTTATGTCCAACATACTTACATGAATCCTAGAGCAATATACTTCTATTTCTCTGTCTTCATGTTGCTTCTCTGAAACTCTTGTTCTGGAATCCTGTAGTCTTGATATATTTTGGATATTAGGGTTTGCCCCATCATTACACCGGAACCAGGTCGTTACAACCCGTTGCGAAGTTCCTGTTAAGAAACTTCTTGAAGTTCCATTTTTTGAACTCTTCTTCTGACTTTACTTGTATCCTCATGGATCTTCTAAAGTTCCTCTGTTTCAGTTCCTTCTTCAACTCCTGGTGTTTACTAAACCTGCAAACATCACAACACTAGAAAATCCTTATTAGATGGAAGTTTGCTCAATCATAACTATCATCATCAAAACCTCATAAGAGTCAACAAGTTGCCCCTTTTTGATGATGATAAACTGAGCAAACTTCTGAGGATAACAAAGTAAAGCAGAAGGTTAGTTTTTTTCATTTATAAAAACAATAAAGAAAACTAAGCTAAATTAAAAGACTCCTACACATACATGACCTATATATGCATAGGATACTTACCTTATGAAGCTAACATATGCAAAGACATATTTACATAGTTACCTTCATGGTTCCTTAGCCATCATTATGCTTATCAACCATAACACCTATCATTGTTCTTGTTCCTCTATTCCTTATCATATTATTACTCAAGTTCCTTACATATATACCCGTCATTACTCAGGTTCCTTGTATCCTGTTCCAAGCATAACTTGTTCTTTCTATGCACAACTAATCAAACACGTTAGATAGATAATCATCATTAGTTTACAATCATCAAAACCTAATTACTCAACATATCGTCACCAAATCTAGAGTCACTTTATATTCTTGCCTGGATCTCAGGAGGTGATTATAAAAAGAGCACCCTATTCGATGTTGATGCTCCTAATTTGAAATTCTTTGGTGCTAGTAATTTGACCGAAATGAAGTTTAGGTTTGTCGATGAACTAAGTGGGTTAATTGAAGCCGAGTTAGGTTCTTCGAGGGATCAAATTAACTTACACCTCTTTCGAGCAATCTGTAATGTTAGGACGCTTAAGCTACGTTCTAATGTGATTGACGCTCTTAACAATGCTCTGGATGATGATGATGGTCAATTGCCCGTGTTTCATAACCTATCATGCCTCGTATTTTCAGAAACAAATCATTCTTGTTGGAAAGCATTGCTATGTCTGTTAAATTGCACACAAAAGATAGAGTTTCTATCCATTGAGATGAGTACGAGGTTTGAGGAAGAGGAGTTTAACGAAGAGGAGGAAGATGAAGAGGAGGAAGAGGTTAATGAGATTGCTATGTACGAGTATGTTGTACCTCCAAGTTCGTTACAATATCTAAAAAGGTTGGAAATTGGGTTTAAGGAAGTCGAAGATTATGAGACGATGGAGTTGGTAATGTACTTGTTGAGATACACTAGTGCTCTGGAAAAACTTCTTGTTCAGGTTCCTGATTGTACAAGTAATTTTGAGGCTCTTCGACTCGAGTCAGAATTATATGAGTATTTGTCCGAGCTCCCATGATGTTCTAAGTCCTGTCATATTGAAGTTGTTTGTGTATCAACATGATCTAAGGAATACATACTTGTATTCTATCATCGAAGTGAGGTATAAAGTACTATATATATGCCTATTTTTTGTTGTGTTTTACTACAGGTCTTATGTTTGGGAAAAAGGGCAATTAACCAACTAAATCTTGCTCATTGTCCATCTTCTACTTATAAATAAAGGCAATTCATAGCAACTATCTTTTTCTAGCTAGCTCTCAATGATTTGTTTTCTTGATTACTGCTTAGTTCTCGAACTTTAATAGTTATAGACTCACACACAACGAACGTTATTTCTACCAATTTTGTATATGAAACAATCAACATCTTGTATGTATCTTCTTAACCTATAAACTGGTATGGTGTCTTCTAATGTTTAATTTTGGAGAGAAAAGGGTGGATTGGAAGAAGTTGAGGGATCCAATTTCTACATACCCTCCTCTCTACTACTTCTAACCAAACACGAATATTTTAATCAACGATATTCTCTTTTATGTCAAAATATATTATTCCGCACATCATAAGTGATTATATTATCAATGATATGTGTTGAAATTTAATAAGTAGTCAAAAAGCGTATCCTAATATTTAATAATAACCTGATGCATTATCTGGACTCAAAACTATTATTAACATCATATCATATAATCATTAATCTATAAACATTGACTTAAGAGTAGAGGGGGATAAGGGAAGCTAATGGACCATTCTAATATATTGGACATGATTTTGCCCCACTACTAAAAGAAACTGGGCTTTATACAACAATAAAGTATACACGTGAGTCCATTTGTTTATGGTATTACATTATCATAATGTAGTTTGACTATTTTAAGTAAAAATTGTTGTTTTCTTTCTAACTTATGCAAATGACAAATCTGTTGACCATGTATGAATGGCATGATATATAACTGATAAGCCAGCTTATTTTATGTGAATGGACCCATTAATTATAATTTGTGATATTACCAATCTTTATCAATGTTACGTGTCTGATATTGTTTACTAACGGTTTGCTGCGAAGGAGGCTTCCCTACGATATGGCAATATCGACTTCTCGTCATCTTGTACTATCCAACAAAATAATGCGATAGCATGATGGGTTTTTATTATTCATAATCGTTTATATTGGTTTACTTCTACCAAGGGGCAAATCGATGACTTCCTTGGTGACTATCTGTTAGGAATATAGGAAAATATATTATTGTGATATATTTTTCATATAAATTTTATGATATTATATTATTGATATTACAGGTCGTTTGATGTTTGAGACCGTAGATTGAAGTTTACTATGAACTTATGAAGTATTCCGTATTATTTGTTATTTTTGTTTTCTTAATATAAGAAAATTTGACTTTTAATTCTATGATATACTTACCTCCGTTTTATTAGTTGATACGTATTCCTTTTTAGGAAGTTTTTTTTAGCTGACACGTTTCCTTTTTTGGTAATTTAATACCTTACTTTTTAAGTGTACCCCCCCCCCCCTGTTTTTCATTCTCTCTCACACTCTCTCCTTTCCTTAATATGTGTGACTAAATTGAACGTGTCAACTAAATAGAAATGGAGGAAGTATATTATTTCTTTGACATTGTATTCAAATTATGATGGAACTTTAATATTGTCATATACAAGTAACCTTTGATGTTTTATGATAGGTAAGAAAGGTTAAGATCTAGCACATAGCTTCTATATGCAAACCTTGCATATAGGATGACAATGTAGTAATAAAGTTGAAGTGGTAGTGAGAGTATAAAATACTATTTAATAGGTAAATATTACCATTAAATGTTGTAGTGATATAAAATTTTATGTTAATAGTACAAATAAGTATGTAAATGGTACATCAAAATAATACTACTGTGAGATACGGAGTATTATAGTACTACTAAGACATAAATGATATAATATACATGTATAATAGTACAAAAATGTACTAAAAAGTACTCCACTTTTGTCCTCCTATATGCAACAAATGCCTATAGATATAGGAACTATGCGACAAGATGCACTCAGTAAGAAAAGAGTGAATGTAATCTCTATTAGGGCTTAATTAATATTAATCTTTGGAGTAATATTAACTTTATTGTTTTGGGCAATATATTGCTTAAATTGATGCATAAAAAAAAAAAAAAAATAAATAAACTTTTAGATTAATGTTTGCCAAATAAAAGGCACTAAAATTTTATTAGAATTATCTTATTTTTACAAGCTATTATACCAATTACTTAATTGTTTCGATCGAACTCTAAACGAATCTAACAAATCGATTACTCTTTCCGTTCCATTATGATGTTCCTGTTTGAAATCTTTGACTTTTTAAAACCATAGAGAATCTTCTAAATCTCTCTTATTCTATAAGAACAAATATAGTTACGTGAGACCTAGTTTGATTCTTCTTGATGAGTAGATTATTAAAAACTAACTTTTATAATTTTTGCTAGTTTGAGATTAAAGATATTTGCGGTCAAAGATGGGTAAAAACTTACATTGATTTACGAACAGGAACATCATTCTGAAACGAAGGTAGTATTAGTTGACATCTTACATCTAACCTTACATCTAATATCTACTCACTTAGCTATTAGCGATTACAACTACTACTTTTGTCTAACAAGTTGGAGTAATTGAGAGAGAAAGAATTACTATATGGTATACGTTATTAATAAGGTTTGATTTACTTAGACACCAATTGATTTTACTTTTGGTGTATGTTATTTAATACTTTGTAGATTCTAATAAGGGCATTTACCTAATTGAGATGATGTGGATCAAAGAAGGAGGAGCAACGGAGGAAGATCCCAATTAATGCCAACCAACAAAAATAGTTGGGTGCCTTCAGTGTAATTATATCATCTTTTGTTTGATTTCAATTGCTCTTAGTGCCCTCTTCATAACAACTTTCTATTTCGAAACGGTGAGAAGTAGGTGTGCCTTAAATTCAAGGCTACACCTCAAAGAAAGAACAACATCAAGGCATTGCATCTCACGACACGATATAGTTTCATAAATATATAACAAAAAAATACGGAGTACAAATAACTCAAAACTATTTTAAAATTTCAAAATACGATTATACAAAGTATTTTAATTTCAAACTTATAGCTTTTGTAGTGGAGAAGGTTGTAATATCTAGTCGAAACTTTATTTTTTTACCAACTTATTTATTTGTAAGTGGCAATTCATTCTGATAAATTGTTCCATATCCTAACAAAATGACACAAGAACTTTAAAAATACTATAGATAAGATAACCAATGTGGTGAAACTAATTATTCTTTCAAAAGGAACCTCAAAATTATACAAGTATGAACAGTCATCTTCAATTTCATAACCATAGAAAGGGGTGAAATATTGAAAAGGACAATTCATTTTCATTTTCATTTTCATCACATAAGCTTTTTATAAAATCCCAACAAAATGACTCCAAATTCTTACTTTGACTCCCCACTAAAACCCAAAAGCTAAACAGCAAAATATTGGATCCTCCATTTTGACTCCCTTTTTTTATTTCAAAACCTTTGGTCAATTAGAATATACCCCTTTTACCTAAACCAAATAAAATACTAACGTACCAACAAAACCAAACTTTATTACACTACCTTTTTAATTTTTTCAATATTTTTTTTTGGTAATCCATACATAGATAATAAACTAATCACATACCATTACCATTAAAAACACTATAATTACTATTATAATACCTGCTAATCACCTTGCACTTGACCACATTATCATTAACATAGAACCCTGGTGCAACCATTATCCTAACCATTGTAGGTATCAACTTCTTAGCCTTATCACCACCCATATCATCCATATAAACCGGGTCGAATCGAGCCCCCTTTTCGACCCGGAATATCGTTAACGTCGGGTGAACCGAATTCGCCAACAAATGGACCAACCAAACACTCTTAGACGCCCCAAAAAACGCTTGCAATAGCGGTTCCGGCCAAGCCCTATTCCATCCCAACATACTAACAATCTCACTCATTTTCCTATCACAAAATCTACTAAACTCCTCACTAAAATGTTTAGTCCCTTTATTTAACACCTCCTCCCATGCAAGCTCCTTCAACCCATTATACGCCGAATAGTTAGCCTCACACCGATCAATCGGGTTCAGGATTCGATCCGTGGAGCTCTTCCCGAACCCGGAACACTCGAAATCCTCGTAGAAAGAAGCACTCAGTAGAGCCTCCAGGTAAAACTGGAGACTCTTATACTGATTGCTGTTCGAAGATGACGACGAAAGCTTGAAATCGTAGGATCGTAAGATTGTACTTAACCTCTCGAACACCTTAACCCCCATTAATTTCAGCTGTGAAGCGAGCGATTTGCTGAGAAAACGGATCGAAGATCGCGCATCGGATACCGCAACGAGGAAGTTCTTGATGATGAGATCATGGTTGTTATGATTGCTAGGGAAGTTCCAAGAGCCACCCGGGCTTGGGCTTGAGAACCGGGCCGGGCTTTGGGCCTGGGTTTGGGTTTGGTTACAAATTTCAAGCCCAGATTTAAGGTTATGACAGTAGATTTCTAACCGATTAAGCTTCTTCTCAAGTTCAGCCATGGAATATTTTAGCTTCGAAGCTTCTAGAATCGCTTCATCTCGTCTTCTAGTAGCTTGTACAAGTTTATGAGAAAGTTCGGCAACCGCAATCCTCCAGTGCTCCTCCCTCTCCACCGCGGACGAAGATTCCGGCGCCGGCGACGGTGACGGTTTCGGACTCCGGCGAGAGATTCCGGCGATGAGAGACTTGAACAAACCATTAGGACTCGGCGTTGCAGAGGAGGAGGAGAGAGAGTGTTTGTTAAGGTGGTTGTCGACAGGGACGACAACAACGGAGGTTTTCTCGCGGGTTGTCGGACGGCAGTTGTTACAGGAGACAGCACGGTCGGAATAAGTGGCGGAGTTTGAATTTCCCGATGACTTACGGTTTTTTCCGGCGGGTTTTTTCCCGGGTTCATGAAGTGGGGTCGGGTTATGGTGGTACACGGTGTCCGTACCGGCTGATGAGGTGGCGATTGTACTGTTATTACTCGGTGTTGTAACTGATCCATAACGATGTCGTTCTTCTGTTTCTTCACTCTCATTTCCTTCTTGTATCTGCAAATCCAAAAAAAAAAAAAAAAAAAATTAGAATTGAATTCAAAAATGATAATGATAACAACAATGTAAAAGGGTTATCGTATTGGATGGGGTCGGATACATGAACCAAGAATTTATCTCGAGTATTCGTAACAAAATAAATTAATTAAAATTTAAAACCAACAAAATGAAAGGAAAATTACAGGAGTGAAGAGGTGTGAGCGAGAAGGAAGAGAAGGGCTGACAGAGGAAGAAGAAGGAGGAGCCATAATTGTTTGTTGTAGTTTGTACAGAGTAGTATTTCCAAGTGACGACTAGAAGAACGGTAGATTTGTTTTTATGTATTTTTTTTTTTCTCTCTCTTAATATGTTTAAGTACGGTTTGGAAGAAAGGATGGTCCAAAATAAATAAAAAGAAAAATAAATTGGTGTTGTATGTGAAGGGAGAAGAGGAAGCACTACTGTAAAAGTTATTGTCAGGAAGTAATGATGGTGGAGATAAAAATTCAAAACAAGGTTTGTTTTTACTGTATGAATTATCAATTATGAGTGTGGTTTATATTGTGGATAGTTGCACGAGAGGTCGTGCAATTATACATGGCGCTGTTTTCGCTTTTTAGTACTGCTGCAGTGCTCACAGGATTTACATTTTTATTGGATCAATTCATTACTATTGCACTACTAATTTGTCACTATTAATAAGGTATTTATCTTCAGCTTAATTTCATTTTACTTCACTTTCTAATTTCGTTCTCTCATAAATAATTTATTTTAGCTCCATTCAATTTAGTTCAGCTCAATTTCAATCAGTTTAGTTTAATTCAGCTTAATAAATTGGTAAATAACTTACTACCTACAAGTATGAACTAAATAAAAATAAAATAAAAACGTATCGTTTGCCTAATTTCCTATCAACTATTTTTATTGAATACTGGTGTGTATTTCGTATAAATTTATATAGTCATACTCGGTATCATTGTAGGACATTATCAAGGAGGTATAGCCTTGCAAGGTGAATCCCGACACAATATGTCATTAATAAACAAAATAGGTATTGAGACTAGTTAGTATTGACCCATGAGGCCATGAGGTACTAGAGAGTAAGGTGAGACTATTAATCTTTAAGGTTTGATCCCTAATTCCTACGGAGTAATATAATGTGTCCTTGCACTCCTTCGTAAGGATTGTACCTCTTTATATGACAAGCAAAACAATCAATATTACTACTACATATACTATATACTACTATATTGTGGATTATGCAATACTTTGGTACTTCGTATCACACTTTTTATTTGACACATTTGACTTGTTGTGCCTTAACGTTGATTCTATGGAGTAACAAATTTAAAGTGATTTCAAACTTTTAATCAAGATACAACATTATAAGATAGCTGTATTACTTTTGGATCAATGTTATTGATCAATGAGAACTGATTAGGGGATTTTTATCCACCAATCACCGTCTGACAAGTGGACCAACCAGGTTCCGCCACGTGTCCTTCACGAAGGCCAACAGGAGCCTGCCACGTGTCAACCACAGATACGTCCTCTACGGACCACTTTAGACACGCCACGTGTCCACCCATGCCAAATGGGAAAACCGGCCATCAAGGCCCAATCCAGTCTAGAGGCCCGATCAGCCCTAGGTTTACCCTAAACCTAGAGAGTGACACGCTTCTCAAGGCTATAAGTACTTAATTAATCCTCATTAATGACAATCGAATAATCAAGAAATCAAGCAGAGAAGAACAGAGTTATTAACAACCGGCTAATCTCGCTAACGACGCAGATTACCAACACTAAGCACTCTCACCTAGAGAGATCTCATTACTTTAATTTCTGTATTAATTACTCCTTAATCAGGTACTAACTTGAACGTTGGAGGCGGAGCTCTCAGGAGTCTCCGTTATTTTGCAGGTACAGGCGTCCGGTTCCAGTCTCGGAATTGTAACTCTCCCGCAGGACATCAGAATACCCCGAAACATTTGGCGCCGTCTGTGGGGAGAGTACTTCAGAGATGGCATCCAAGTCTGTACCGACTCCAGAAGAGAGGCGTCCCCTAGACGACCCTCAAGTTCAGTCGGACCATGATACCGAAAGTGAATTTGAAGTGGAAACTCATACAGCTCCAGACGGGACCCTAAGGGCCCGACGTACCCGTCATACCGAAAGGAGGGAACGGGAGCATCTTCAAACAGGAAGCGAGCCAGCAGGCGCACCGCTTGCTCGGCAACAGCCGACTGATGGGTCTGCTCCCATCACAAGGAACGAACTCATGACCTTCATGAGGGACTTCAAGGGAGAGATTCAAGAGTTGATCAACAAAAAACCGCCTGCTTCAGTCAAAGAGCAGTCGGCCAAGAAACCTTCCACTTCACTAAAGAGGAAGCCAGTTCAAGGGCGAGAGGCGACTCCCCATCCTAAATCCAAGAAGCGGGAGCCACCTGCTCTTGATTTCAAAAAACTCCGTTATCCTACGGGAAATAGGAAACCGGTTCGTCATATTCAGGCGGACGGGTCAAAGCAAACGTTCACAGATGCTCGGCACCTGCTAGAGCAGAAGAAGAGTGACCGATTATCAGAGCCGGCTTCTACTTCAAATTTTCAGGACAGTTTGCGAAATGCCTCGATGAGGCATACTCAGTCGTACCATGAGAGTCAGTCAGGCGGCACCTCCCGTCAGTCCGGCTTTCATAGTGCCCAGGCGGTACCAAACTTACCATTTGTGCCGCAACAACAGTATTTTATGCAGCCACCTCCATTTGGTGGACCTGCAGCAAAAAACGTCCAACCTATGGACTGGCAGCTACGGCTGCTTAGACTTGGTGAACAGCCGTCGGCCTTCTCCAAGGAAATTACTGAAGCCGCTCAGCCGGCCAAAGTAAAAAATGTTCTAGTAGGCGCCTATGACGGCACTACTAACCCAGAAGACCATCTGATGGCATTCACCAACCTGATGTACCTTCAAGGGTTGGATGATCCCACTTGGTGCAAGTGTTTCCCAGCGACTCTCAAGGGAATTGCACAGCAATGGTTCGGCAACCTGCCGACTGGTTGTGTAAACAGCTTCAGGACGCTTGCTTACTTATTTGCCTCCAACTTCGCTATGAACATCCCTGCGAAGAAAACGACCCTTGATTTGGGAACAATTCAGCAGGGCGAGAAGGAGGGGCTTCGTTCTTACATCAGGCGGTTCAACCTGATGAGAATACAGATTCAAGGGTTACCGGATGAGGTAGCTTATACTGACTTTTTTAGAGGTCTCAAAGACGGGTCTACCTTCAAATTTGATTTAGTTCGAAAAAGGGTGGCGACTCTTCAAGAGGCCTTGATTGAAGCAGAAGCCTATATACAGGCGACTGATCTGTGTACGATAAAACAGTCGGACGGGAAGAGGTTCGACAAAAGAGAGGGCCGACAGAAACAGTCGTCCAACAAAGATGAGAAAAGAAAAGAGGTCTGGGCGGCTGACTCCTCTAAACAGCCGGCCCAGAAAAAGAAAAAAGAATTCAAACCATACTCCCCAAAGTATGTGTTTAACAAGGATAACCAGTTTATCCTAAAAGAAATAAAGGGACGGTTCTCAATTGAGAAGCCGCTCCCCATGAAGGGTTCTGCGAGCAACCGGAACCAAGACAAAATTTGTGCTTATCATGATGACGTTGGTCATCACACCAATGACTGCATCAGTCTCATGCGGTACCTAGACCGCTTGGCTGATCAAGGTGATCTTGACACTTATGTCAAGAAATCTACGGGGAACACTTCCTCAAAAAAGCAGCCGGCCAAAAAGAATCAACAGGCCGACAGTTCCGATACAGATGATGCAGTCGTCTACACCATTGCAGGCGGCTTCTCAGGAGGCGGCCCCACTATTAGGGGCAACAAAGACAATATAAGGCGGTTAGATGTAAACTCCGTTCACCAAGAACGGCCGTCCAAATATACATTTCCTGAGATTGTCATCACCGAAGAGGATCTAGGAGGAATAAGGGGGCCGCATGACGACCCTCTCGTTATTGAATGTAAAGTGGCCAACCAGAGAGTTGGCCGAATCCTCATAGATACCGGGAGTTCTTCAGATCTCATCAGCAGCAAATGTCTGTCAAAACTAAAATATCAGACGGACTGCATACATCCGGCCTCCCATCCTTTAATAGGGTTTGGAGGAGGAGTCGTCCACCCACTGGGACGAGTAGATCTACCCATTCGCCTGGGCGAAAAAGGGGAAGGACGACACATGGTAGTCCGGTTCCTAGTAGTAGAGGAACTCTCGGCCTACAACATGATTCTGGGTCGACCAACCCTGAATAATTCCAAGGCTGTTATAATCCCGTCACTTATGCTGCTTAAGTTTGAAAGGGATAATGGAACAGTCGGCTCCCTGAGGGGAAATCAGAGGATGGCCCGAGAGTGCTATCTCTCGGACGTCAAGCCCACTGTTATGACCACTGGGTCAAGTGGAGAAAAAACAGACCTTAACAATGTCAAGGAGAGTACGCCTGTTCAAGAAACAGGCGACAAAAAGAGAAAGGCGTCCCAGACAGAGTCCGCAAGAAAAGCAAGAAAATAGCAATCATTGGCAGAGGAGCGGCCGGATGAGTTCCGCCCTCAGCCGGCTGGGGAGCATGCGGACCTGATCTTAGACGACTCACGTCCTGACCGAACAGTCAAAGTTGGGACGACTGCTCTGAGAAACCTTGGTGACGACTTTCACAATCTGTTGAAAGAATACAAGGACATCTTTGCATTTGAAGTCCATGAAATGCCAGGCATTAGTCCTGATCTGGCAGTACATAAACTCGCTGTGGATCCGAAAAAGAAGCCGGTACGGCAAAAGAAGCGGAACCATGGTGAAGAAAGAGGTCAGGCGGCAGCCGCCGAAGTCAAAAAATTACTTGATGCAGGGTTCATTCGGCAATGTTACTTCCCAGATTGGGTTGCAAATGTGGTGCTTGTTAAAAAGCCGAATGGCACCTGGCGAATGTGTGTAGACTACACAGACTTGAACAAGGCGTGCCCCAAAGACAGTTACCCTCTGCCTAAAATTGATAATCTGGTCGACTCAACAGCCGGTCATGCCTTGATGAGTTTTATGGACGCCTATTCTGGTTTCCATCAAATTCCTTTATGGAAGAAAGATCAGGAGAAGACGGCCTTCGTCACTGATCAGGGGTTATACTGTTACACGGTCATGCCGTTTGGTCTTAAGAATGCCCCGGCTACCTTCCAACGAATGATAAACACAGTGTTCTTTGATCAGATTGGGAGAAACGTCGAGGCATATATTGATGATATGATTGTCAAAACTAAACTTCAGAAAGATCATCTGACGGACCTCCGAGAAACTTTCTCCACACTCAGGCGGCACCATGTCATGCTCAATCCCAAGAAATGTGTATTTGGAGTTGAGTCTGGGAAATTTCTCGGATTCCTTATCAATCAGAGAGGAATAGAGGCGAACCCTGAGAAGGTACAGGCGGTCATTGACATGCAGTCGCCTCGTACCGTCCGAGAGGTTCAGAAGTTAACGGGTTGTCTGGCGGCCTTGGGGAGATTCCTAAGCCGATCAGGCGACAAATGCCTATACTTTTTCCAGGCAATTAAGAAAAAGGCAAGGTTCG